AAGAGTTGTTGGGTCAAGGGGGATTCCATCCAGATATCAGAAGGAAGCCTGGGAGACCAGGCCTTTGAAAGGGAAGTATGTGATGCTGTGAAATGAAGTCAAAGGTGAAGTGGAGACCCCAGGAAATTGGAGATGCTAAGAATGTGGAACATCTGTAGAAGAAAGCTGCAGGCTTAGTGGATCCTCAAGAGAACAGTTAGATGGACCCAGCAAGGCTGTAGGACCAGGCCCTCTGGTACTCACATTTCACCATCATGTGTCCCAGATGCTGGACATGGAGCTACAGAACATAATGTTTACCCACCTGGGTTTCAGTTTTGCTTTGGTCTGATTCTTTTGTATCCCTCCATTCCTCCTTTTGTAATAGAAATGTTTGTGCCATGACATTGTACTTTGGTGTTATGTAACCTTTTTAATTTTTATAGAGGTTTACAGCTGAGAGTTTGCTTTGAGTCTCAGAAGAGAATGCACTTGACCTGGGTTTTGAGAAAAATGTAAATATTGAGAATTTAGGGAAGGACTTGTTGCATTTCTGATTGTATATGGGATAGTTAGGTGGAATTACATACTTGGTATTGTTTTCATTTGGAGATTATTTATGATTTAAGGAGATGTGCTTGGGAATGAAGTTGACGAAGGGTAGGATGTGGCAGTTAGGGTGAAGTGCCAACTTGGTTCGCTTTTGAATCTGCCCAGGAAATTGGTGAAGCATACTTGTGGATATGTCTGGGTAGGTCAAGGAGGCGTGGCCTGGGGTCTATGTCTGATCCCTTGCTCCTTCTCTGGTGCTGTTCTTCAGCTCTGATTCCTGGCCTCCATGAACTAAGCAGTTTTGCTCTGCCATGCCCTTCTCCCCTGATGTTTTTGCCTTAGAGTCAGTGATCCATGGATTGAATCCCCTGAACTATGAACCAAAGTAAAGCTCTCCTCTTTTAAGTTGTAGTTGTTGGGTATTGCGTCCAGACATGGGAAGTGGACTAACACACAGGGACTAGATTGGGTGTAGGGACAAGAGTGAGGACAAGTATTCTGTGGCTGGAGCTAGTGAGTGACTAGTCCCAGTTCCTAAGAGTGCTAGTGGCAGACATAGTAGTTGGAAGATAGAATAGCAGTACCCAGGTTCACAGGTGGGTAGATTCTCAGGAACTGTCCTGACATTCATTCATTGTAATTTGTGAAACAAGGAGAAATTAATTGTTCTCAAATAAATTGTCAAACTTTAAAACAATAGACTTCATTTGGGAAGTACTCATAAGTCTCAGAGCCTGCAGTTTGATTTTGATATATAGAAGAGAAGTGATGTTGGGATACATAAGAGATTTTGTTTTGTTTTGCTTCTGTGTTGCTCAGTTTTGTTTTAAGGAATATTCATTCATTAGAAAGAGGAAAAATTTTTGGTGATACTGGAAATTAGAAATGCTTTTAGTGTATTGATTTGGGAAAAATGTGAATGAGAAGTTGAGCTTAACTCCAGAGTATTGGGTTTTGAGAACTCTATTGATTGCTGAAGTCCCCAAACTGCTCCACAGTTAGGGTTTCCCTGGTAGGCCCAGTGTTTGGGTTGGTTATTGATTCTGTGCCAAGAGCAAAAATCCAGGTTTTCTGACTCTGAGATAAAGCTTAAAAATCATCAGGGCATACAAATCTGTCAAAGTCTAACATTTTAGTGTCAGTAAAATCAATTTGTATGCTTTTGAATAATGGACATAGGGTAACTTCTAAAAGTAAAGAATCTATTGTTTTCACTTCTTTTTTTTGGGGGGGTGTATCAGGGATCAAACCTTGTGCTTGTAGGGGCCGGGGATTTAGCTCAGTGGTTTCACCACCTGCCTCGCACGCGCAAGGGCCTGAGTTCGATCCCCGGTGCCAAAAAACAAACAAACAAAAAATCCTTGTGCTTGTGCTTGTGAGGCAGGCATAGTGCCACAGAGCTAAATCCCATCCGTTTTCAATTATTTAATTCTAGAACACTGAGACTTGGACTTTTTTTATTTTATAAGGTAATTTTTGTTAACTACTTAATATTTTTTCTGGATCCTATTTGTTCAGTCCATTTCCTTTCCCATCTCCTTCCTCATCCTCTTGTCCAAACCTCCATTATACTTCACAGCTTCTTATCACTTTAGAAATGTGAAATGCTGTCATGGTGGCAGGTGTCTTTCTGTTACTCCTGTTCTCTATGTCCTCCACAGCATACATCAATGTGCCTTCCCCTCCTCCAGATTTAGTCAGTCATCCTTCCTTCCATTTAATCCTTTTTCTTCATTGCAGTAGTGTATCCTTTCCTTTCTTCTCTTCCAACCCAAACTCCTCAGAATTCACAGAAGAATCAAACTCCAATAGACCTCACCTAGGTGAATGTCACATTTTAGCAACAACTTGCTTGCCTGAAGTAATTAATGCAGTAAATATTCTGAATTATTTATTTTTACAGAAGGTTCTCGGGTGTGCCTGAGCATCAGCTTCTTGCCTGGGTAACTGTAGTCCACCTGTGTCATTTCTGTCAACCTATCCCAACACAGCCTGAGTAGAGTCTAAAATGAAAATAGAACTATGTTATTCTCAGGTTAATAGACTCCCATTCTAATGAAATACTAAATCTTTCTTTTAGCATAGAAAGATCAGAGCCCAGGTCTCTCTCTTGTGCTCTCTGGTTTCCTCTCATGCTTCTGTTCCTCACAGGTTCTATGCTGGGGCTATCTTGAACTTCTTTTTTTTTTTCAAACTACCTTGACCTCTACCTCCCCATGTTCCGTGCATGTGCTGCTCTGTCTGTACATCCTGCCTTCCCTTATCTCATACTTTTTCTGCAAGTAACTCCTTGGCCAGCTGTGGAAGCCTTTCTACTTGGAGGCCTTAATTGAGGCTGCAGTGCAGGTCATGGCCCATTAGGTATTCTCTTGGTCCTTGGGACCTTCTTCATAGTGTGAGATATATTTTCAGCCACTTCATTTTCTTTCTTTGTTAATGTCTCTCCTCCCCAGGAAACTCTTAGCTCCATGAGTACAGAGACCTTTTACATCTGCTAACCACAGTATTCCTCAGCACAGCAGAGTTCAGCACAGAATAGGATCTCAATATGCATGACGCAGATATATAAATTATATATTGTCAGTTTTCCATATTTATACATTGTGTTCACATTCACCCAGTTGTAGATGGAAATTTTTTTAAAAAATAGTGTTTGTGCTGAAGATATATAGATTTTTATTCCTTGTCATCATCCCCCTAAATGATACAGGGTAAGAACTGTTTATAACATTTACATTGTATTAGGCACTATAATGTAGAAATGATTTATTGTAAGCAGGAAGTACGTGCAGATTGTATACAAATACTATACCATTTTATGTAGGGGATTTAGGCACCCAAGGATTTTGTTATCCCCAGGGGGTCTTGGAACCAGTCCACCATGGATACTTAGGAATTAATATACATAGAATAAAATTTGGAATATAGAATAGTACATATTTATTTTTAAATAAACTATAAAGCTGCATAATGTTTAAAAAAACTATGAACTGAATAGTATTTTATACAGTGGGGGTTCTTCCAGTTCTAGTAAAGTAACAACCATATATATAACCCATATAATAATAAAAGATGTCTTTAGGTATTTAAGAATATTTTATTTTTCTCAGGAATTTTTTCTCTTTAAAGTTTGATTTAGAGTACAGTTACATTGTGCTTGGAAAATCATTACATTTTAGTTAATGCTAAGGCTAAGCTTGACTTACTGTACTTCTGAGTTCCTTTAAGTATAAGGCCATAATTTCTTTAAAAAGTTTTACTTTGGAAAATTTCAAGGATGTAAAAAGAGAATATGAAAATGAATATTTGCCCATAAAGTAGGTGTAATGGACAATTTGTTTCATCACTACTTTCTCCTGCCCATGGGTGGGTTATTTTAAAGTAAATCTAATATGATCTCATTTCATCCATAAGTAGTTTAATAAGTATCTAAGGGATTCAAATAAAGCCACAATACTAATACTGTACATAAGTGAAAATTTATACTTTCTCCTTAATGTTGCCAAAACATCTAATCAATATTCAGTTGTTCCTGTTTGAGATTTTAAAAAATGTGTTTATACAAATCAAGATTCATTTTTTTCTCTTGCCTCTTTTTTTTCAACTTTGTCTTGTTCTTTCATATTGTATGTGTGTGTACTTTAAAGGGGTCATTTGTCTTATATTATTCCTGTATTCTGGATTTTGCTGATTTAATCCCTAAACTTTTCTTTAAAACATTCTTCTTTTCTCCAAATTTTTTTTTTTTTTTTTTTTTATTGAGTTTATTGGTACATTTAGGGATACAGTACAGTTACATTCATTGTTGGGATCATGTACCTTTACATGGCAAGTCTTGATTCTCATTTTTTTCCCCTTACCTCTGCCCTCCCTTCACCCCCTCCTCCCCTCCCCATCTACAAACACTTTATTTTCATCTTTTCATTCTCTCACATTTTTTTCTTTTCCCTTTTTGTTCTTCCCCTACGTATCACACCTTCCCTACACCTTTAGCTCCTTTCCTCCCATTTCTAAATGTCAGTAATCTTATTAGAATCTTATGCATTGTTGCAGAATATTCACACCAGGGAAACTATTCGGTATTTACACATGTGGGACTTATTTATTTCACTTAGGAGTATATCTTCAATATGTATCCATTTTCCTATGAATGAATCTATTCTCTCGCTCTTTATGGCTGAGTAATATTCCATTTTATAGAAAAACCACAACTTCTTTATCCAAATTTCTTATAAATTGATGAGCAATTTTAAAAAATTGAGTAAGATTTAAGTTACTTTTCTTTTTTAAAAAAATCCATCTCTTTCCTCAGTGATTTGAAGTGATACTTTTACTAAATTTCCATATCAATACCATCATTTTAAAATGTAAAGAAATAAAAAAATATTGTAGTTCCTAATAAGATCCTGAATCCCAATTTTTTGAATGATGATTTTGCTTCATTTTATACCATTTTTCTCCCCTCTCAGATTTGGCAGAAAGAAAAATACAGACTTGCTGTTTATTTTTGTAATCCCTGAACATTTTAAAGGTATGTGCCTGTTGACTGTAGTATTTGTTTCTTTTCAAATAGAAATCATAAGATCAGTATTTAATACAAAGATGTTTAGGTTGTATTTCAGGGCGTGGAGCTGATGTTACTTTAACTGAACCATTGACAAGGGAAAAGCTGAGTATTGTGGTAAAATGCTGGAAAATGTGTTTCTCAAATACTGGTAAGTAAAAAATAAATTTCCAAAGGCTTGAAAATTTTCATTAAATTCCATAAAAACCATGTTTATATGCTTTTAAATTGCTTTCCCACTTACACCTTTTATTTACTAGCGATTAACTGTTTGCTATATATTGTAAAGAACATGTTATCTTTGTTAAGCAGGCCAGAAGAAAATAAGTATAAATAAAAAGAAAAATATGTGTTCTTTACATAATAGGAAAAAGTTTATATCCTCAGACAGTTAAAGTATATATAATATAAATATTATATTATAATATAAAGTTGTAGACAGTTTTTTGTTTTTTTTGGGCAACAACATTGTTACTTTATTTTTTCTTTTCTTTTTTGGTAGCCTAGTGCCACAATTTCTTGGTCATTAAAATGGAATTAATCATGTGTGTCATTATATAGATGTCCAGAAGTCAGGGTCACTAACCTTAAATTGTTTAGTATTTTTCTGCTTTGTAAAACACTTGCATATAAATTATTTTATCTCTTCAAATTAGTAAGGTGATTATCTTTTCTCTTAGATTTTTTAGACACAGAGGATTGAGTGTCAATGTTTTAAATTAGCTTGATCTTTCTAATCTCTTTACCTATAGTATTATGCATTATATCTACCATCTAAGCATAAACCAAATAAGTTGGCTTTGCTTTTGAAAGGACAGACTCAATTCTGAAATTAAATTCTGAAATTAGTATTGGCTGTTTTTGGTTGTTGTTCTTGGCCTGGGATACTAGCTGAGAAATCTTTTAGAATTGAGATGTAATGGAAGATGATGTTCAAGAGGTGAAAAGTTTCAGCTGTGTAAGGTGAATAAATTCTGGAGATCTGATGTACAGCTTGCTGCCTATAGTTAACTTGGTGCTTAATTGAATATAGTACTTGAAATATGTTAAGAGGGTACATCCCAAATGTTCTCATCCCATATACAACAAGAAACAAAACACATAACAGTGCTATGGTGAGATGATGCATGTGTTAACTTGATTGTTGTGATTATTTCACAGTGTATATATACACCAAGTGCAGTTGTACATCCTAAACACACACAATTTAGAGTAGTCAATTATACTTCTGGGAACCTGGTATTATCTTTGTTTTGTTTTGTTTTTGGTACTGGGGATCAACCTCGGGTCCTTGCATTTGCAAGGCAGGCAGTAGAACGAACCACTCAGCCTAATCCCCTGCCAAACCTGGGATTATTTTAAAAATTAAAATTAAGATGATTTTCTTAAGATATGCCTGAATACATTTTTAGGAGATAATCTTATGTAACTTATCCTGTAAAAGTTCATATTACAATATGCAGCTGGAATTCACCCTACCTTTTTTTAAAATGCTAGTTTTATTTATTTTTTACGTATATTAATTTATTTAATCAGTATAAGACTGAAAGAAATAAATGGATATTTCCATTTTATAAAAAAATTTAATGTTATTTTTAAATATTCAGATTAACGAGCTTGCTTTGTAACATTCCATGGCTCTTAGTCCCTGCAGATTCAGAGTTCTTTAGAATGGCTAACCATAGTGGCCATGGTCCTTTGTACAACCTGTTCCTTTGTGGTCCTCAGTGGAAGCTGAGCAGCTGCTCATCACCTGTCTAGCATCCTTGTATTGGTCACTACCATGCCTTTTTCCAGTTGTCTCATCTTTGCTCCAAGGATGAGCAGCTGCAAAAAATTTTTCCAGAAGCCATATTTTGATGGTGCAGCTGCTTATTGAAGACTCATGCATATTTTCTGTCTCTTGACATTTACCTATAAATAGAAACTTGATAAATAAACTCAGCTGAATGTGTTTGAAGCACACCTGTTGCTAAGTTACTAGAATCTGATTGAAAGATATCCTGGAGTAAATAATATTTTGCCTTCTGACCTGGGTGATTTTATGCTTCACAGACTGAAATCTATAAATGGCTTTCTATTTTAAAAATGCTGTTTTGTAAATCATTATTAGTGATTTTAGAATTAAAATGGTCCTCTTTCAAAACTCAGTTAAGAAAGAAAATTCTGCAAGGCCTAAAGAACATGGATCGCCCCTACTGAATTCCTATGGTGAACATCTGGGATGTTTTTCTACTGATGTGTTCACTCGGTTAGTTTTTCTTTTGTATTTTTTCATATATTAGCAGTTTTTGCTATGTGTATTTCATTTAAAAATTCTGGGGAACTTGACTATGGAACACTAACTTAAATGTTGAGGGTTATACAAAAGAAAAGAGGCCCTTTTGTGGAAAGGGAATGTTTTTTGTGTTTCAGAACCCTGAATCATGAGTACAGGTTATGAAAGTTTCAACTTAAGAAAGCACTTCATAAACAATTATATTTAGCCACAGGGGTGCAGGTCAACTTGTAAAGTAGTAAATTCCTCATCACTGTGTTAGTAGAGACTGGGTTAGCACTAAAGTGGAATAATGGCAGTGACAGTCAAACTTTTTAAAAGCAGTAAATAGACTCCTTTCTTCAATCAGACCTTACCTACATCCACTCAGCTTTCTCTCTGTTGTCTTTCTTCAACTCATTAACTCATTCCCACAACTGTTGATATCCACATGTAGAGAGCAGTTAGAGATTCTTTACATACATTAGGTAGTTTATATAATAACCTCTTGGTAATTGGGGAAAGTTTTAGTGTACTCTGCTGGGTCTCTTTCTCATGTTCTTCTATATCTTCCTCAGAGATAATGGCACTGGCATTCAGACCTGAATTGGACAGTCAGTTGAACCTAGGGATCAGGTCCTTTCAATATTAATATGTAATGCTTATGAAAATTCGGTTCTTGTAGATTTGGTCTCTCTATTTTAAGCTTATTTCCAAGCAGGTTTTAAATAGATCCTAGGGCTACAAAGAATGGATGAAAGTGCTGAGACTGTGGATACTAATGATGGTGGAGATTTTAAGTCAGTCACTTCCGGAATTTGTAGAATGCAGCCATTTACTATTTTGAATAAGGAAGGGATTTGGCATCTAGTTAAATGTGGTTAAACCAAAGATGAGCTCACTTAAGTAGTGTAGTGATAACATAGTTCTTGTGATCTTATTTAGGATTTTAATCTCAAAGAGCTTTATTATACCTGACAAAGTTATAAAAAAATGGTAAAGCCAGACAATATCCATTAAATGACAAATTTTAAAATTGAAAGTATTTGTCCTTTGCTGGCCAAATTGGAAGAGATTGTGTCTTGACCCTCTAATCCTTTATGCTTTTTCTTGTAATGTATCTTTCCTTCTGAAGAATAGATATAGTCTTGCTCCTTGACTTGTGATAGGGCTGTATCTAAATAAAAAAACTCATCTCAAATTGAAAATATGCCAAAAACATACTTATTCCACCTCAGCTACTAAACATCTTAGTCTCGCCTATCTTAAACATTCTTAGAACATTTGTTTTAAGCTTACAGTTGGCCAAAATCATGTAACATGCTTATTTTATAATAGGTTATCTAAAGATTGAATATCTCGTGTAATTTATTGCATACTGTGCTAAAAATGGAAAACAGGATGGTGGTAGTGATATGATTTTACACCGCTGTAAGGTGAAAAATGATTGTAAGTTGAACCATTGTCAGATGGGGACTGTCTATAATTTGGGATAGTCATAATTGTTGAGCTTAGAATGTTTTTATGCTGCTGTATCTCTTATGGTTTATCAGTACATTTTAGAATTTTGATCGGTTATTGAATTTACAATGATTTTAATACATTCTTTTGAAATTTTGAAAGAAAATATTTGCACCAAATGTGTAAGGCAAAGTGCTTTGATACTTGTATCTCCTTTGTATGAGTAAGAGACTGAGAAGCGTTGTTCCATTAGTGTACTGGTGCTGATTGTTTAATATTGTCTAACAATTTTCCTCTTTAATATATGGTCTGATTTTTCTCTTTTTTCCAGCTCTGAATCTCTAAGAAATGACATTGGTCTTGAATTTAAAGTTCCATTGTCAGAATTTGAGAAAAGCAAACAGATGTCTTTCCTTCATTCAAGCAAAGAAAAGCTGAGAAGGTGAATATCAATACAGCTCTTGTGTTATTCCTTTGTAGGAAGAAATTACTGTCATGAATTTTATATTTTTTGTAATATTGTTAGACTAAATGAACGAGGAAATCTGACAACTAAATAAATGCCACTCATTCAGTCATTTAATAAATAATTTATGCATATATTTTTTATGCTAGAAGATGATTTGAGGAGTGAGATAAAAAATAAATTTCTGGGCTGGGGATTTAGCTCAGAGGTTCTGCTGCCTGCCTTGCAAGCACAAGGACCTAAGTTCCATCCTCGGTACCAAAAAAAAAGAACAAAAATAAATTCCTGACTTCAAAGGAGGCTTTAGTGTAGTCCTCAGACAGACTTCTAATAGGCTATTGAAAAGAAAATTATGGTAAAATAGAAGTTATGTTTTAGTAAATGTTGTGGAGATCAGTAGAGTAAACACACTAGGAAAGTTATGTAAAAACTAAATGAGGGCACAGGAAAGGCTTTTTTTTTTGAGATAGTGATAGTTAATTTGAGCTTTCAACTAAAAGTTACTATTTGGTTCAGAAGTTAGGGGAAAGATGTTTTACATGGAGGGGGATAACAAATACAGAGAAGCTGGTAGTGCCAGAGGGCCCAGTGAATTTTGGAACTGCAAATATGGTTGGCTGTTAGGACTGATAAGAAAAGGCAAGAAATGAGAGGTAGAGGGCAAGGTCTGGAAGTGTCATGCTATGGAATTTATTTTATTTTTATTTTTGGTACCTGGGATCGAACTCGGACCTTGTGCTTGCGAGGCAGGCACAGTGCCACTGAGCTGCATCCCTTGCCCATGCTGTGGAATTTAAATGGCAGCACGGACTGATGGCATTAAAAGATTTTATGATTGGAGTAATGGTTTAACATTTCTGCTTTTGAACACTGGCAAGATGATAGAAATAGAAGTGAATCTGGAGGCCAGGAATCTATAATAAGAAATGGTGAGGACCTGAGCAATGGTGTTAGAAATGATATGAAGAAGAATACACTAATTTTAGATATATGTGTATGAAATAGGTAGGATCAGTATGAGCTATGCTGAAGGAAGAATTAAATGTAATTCCTAAGTGGGTGGTGGAGTAGGAGGTAGAGTAGAATGGCAATCTGAAGGGTGGTAGGTGAACATATTTTTATTTTTGCCCTTGTTGGATATGAGTACTTCCAAGATAACATGGAGTAGAGTCGCCCTTTTGATCCTAGAGGAAAGTCTGTCTTGAAACACAAACTTAAAGGTGCCTGGACAGAGCATCTATTTGAAGCAATGGGTGTGGGGATATCTCTATGATGCCTGTGAGAATCATGGGTGGAAGAGATAGGAAGAGAACCTTGGAGAAATCTTTTTTAATGTACAGGCAGTAACAAGAGAAATTAGGAAAAGGAAGACTTATGGGGGAAATAAAACCAAGAGAAAGCAATATTAAAGGAGACTAGGGGAATCACATTTCTCAAAGGAATGAGTGTTTAGGAGGATCACAATACAGAAGGACCAAGGAAGGGAGGAATTGATAATTGACTTATTTGTATTTAGCAAAACCAGTCATTGATTTTTGCAAAAATATTTTCATGGGCATGGGTAGGGAAAGAAGCACACATTAGAAGAGTGGATAGAAACATAGATGAAAAGGAGAAAGTTGAAGTATAAAGTGAGTGAATTTGAAAGACTGGGCCAATCTTGAATATGTTTATATTATAAATGAAAACAGATTGGAGAGAGGGAAAGAGGAAGTGATAATTTTTCAAAATACCTGGCTGGTACCTGTGATAACCTGTGGAAGTTTCAGCTCAGCTGGGACTGTCAGCTGAAGCCTCCTCAAAATGGTAATTGCAGGTTTGTCAGAGTCTTTACATGGTAACCCTTAAAATGTTCCAAGAGACAGGAAGTGGAAGTTTCCACTGTTTTTAAGAATTTAATCTTTCTAAAGTTAAGAAACTGATCCAGTGCCCGTTCTACCATATTCTATTGGTCTAACAGTTGTAGAACCCACCAAAGGGCAAGGAAAGAGGCATACCACATGCCTAATGTCTCAGTAAGAGGTATGCCATGGAAATTCAATTCCCCTATTGTTGAAAGGAGTAAGAGTTGTTGGTGATGGATTTCACATCCCCAATGAGGCAGAAGACAATAGAATCCAGAGCACATGGAAAAACATCTCTTCCACTGAAAATGGAGAGGAAATAAAGCTCACTATGGTCCGATGAAGTTTTTGATGAGACTAGACAGAAAGGTAGTTGTGAAGCTTTATGCTTAACAGCCTCTACTATCTGGGGAAGATGATGGAGTTTGAGGCTTGATGAAATGGGATGGTAAATGACCTACTCTGGTCCAGAAGGGCTTCACTCACGTGTCTACTTAAATTTTGCTGAGCTGCTGCACAATGAGGAAAATTCAGTGCAAGGAATATTTTAAAAGCTATGTATCATAAAGTTCATATAACATTATATTCTCCATAATTCATTTTTTGTTGAAATTGTGGTATTAGTAAATGGTACAATGAAATTTTACTAGGATACTCTTTTTATTATTCTATCTCTAGGTCTAGTGTTGGGAATATTTTATTAGCCCTTCAAAGTTAAGTATTTGTTTTGTAAAAATTTTAATGGTTGATGGAAATTAATATCTAAGGACCATTCATCTAGAAAACTAAAAAGATGCTTCAGAGGGGAGGGGTGTTCATCCTGTTTCATTATTTGAAGGATTAGAAGTCTTAGTTTCTTAAAAAGAAAATCTTAAGGGGATCTCCCTTTTTCCTCCTTAAATGATTCATTGTTACATATTACTGCTTCCATACAAAAAGGAAAAAAGAAAAATACAAAATCATATGGAATCTCTGGAGCCTGTTACTGTCATACTTTTTTGTGCCAAGATTAATGTCATTCAAAAAGTTTCATTGAGCTTTTCCATGTTTTCTTCTTCCTGCTCTTCTCCTTTTTAGTTTTTAAAAACTTATGGCATAATTAACATGTCATGAAATTAATGTGCAATGGAATCTTAAATATATGGTTTGATAAATTTTGAAAATGTGGTTTGTTACTCATAGTTCTCAAGAGTAAAGAGCCCAATACAGCATGCAGAGCCAGAGCAGGGAGGCACCAGGATGGGTCAGGGGATAGACAAGTGCATACTCCTGTCTAACCAGAATACTTCTAGCACATTAGGATGACTCCTTGTACATTAAGCATGTTTTTATTCTGACCTTTTGATATCTGGTACTTTACAGGCTATGGATAGTCAGCCCCTCCCAGGACTAGCCAGTCCTAAAGGTAGTAAATTACTCATCTATGAGCACCCCTTTCATATGCAAACTAACCAACTCAGAACTTGCACTTTTCTCATCTCCTCTGTGGGGTCTTAACATTTCAGGCCAGTATTCTCCTGCCCTAATCACCTCATACCAGGTACCAGACAACTTGGGACAGGTCTTAAACCTCAGATCTTGCTGAAATGCATCAAACTAGCTAATCTTAAGTGTGCTTCCATGTCCCACCTGTTCCTTATCTTGGGAACCACAATAAAGGCTTTTCTCTGTACTTTCCTCCTACCTCTTCTGCCTCCTGGTACTTTCTCATATGACATCACATGGAGTGCAAGCCAAGACCTCTTAGGAACTGTGAACAACAGTCCATCTTTATGGTCTCCTCTTAATTAGCTGACTCCACCATACCTGAATAATATTAAAACCTACATTATAAAACACCTTGTGCCCTTTCCATTCTCCAGAGGCAATAACTGTTTTGATTTTTGTCACCATTGACTAGTTTTCTTGTATAAGTTGAATTGTCATTGTGCACTTATATCTGGCTTGTTTCACTTGGCAAATGTTTTGAGACTGACTGTTGTTAATGTGTATCAGTATTTTGGTCCTTTTTATTGTTTAGACTGTTCCATTGTATTAACATATTACATTTTGATTAGTCATTTCTTCAGCTTTTGTCTATTAGGAATAAAACTGCTGTGAATGTTCTTTTGTATGAGGTATGATCAATAAATATGGTAAATATTTGAATATTTGAAAGATTTATTGTAGTGAAGACATGTTGCTATTAATCCCCTTCAGACTACTCCAGTAACTCCAAACATTCTTGCATTCTTGACCTTTCTTGAAGCACTTCTGTAAGTCCTTTACATACGTGTCTTTAGGTGGATTTTTATGGCTGCCTTCATGTCCTGAATCCATGCAAAATGTTTCTTTCGTGATCATTTTGACTTTCGGGAAGGACCAAAAGTCCCACAGTAGTACATCTAGTGAATAAGGCAGATGTAATATTTTTATGAGCCTGACTTTCTGTTGGTTGGCACTTAACAGCAGTGTTCACCAAATTTTGATCACAACTCAAAGAAATCATGAAAAGAGGACATCCAGAATAGCTTCAGAATTTGGCAAGAATGATGGGATAAGTATGTTTCAAGTGAAGTGTTTTGAGAGGGATTCATGGCACTATGTATTTGCTATAATTATTTTAAAATTATTAAAAATATTAAAATATTTTAAAAATTATTAAATTATTAAAAATTATTAATATTTAAACAGTCCCCATATATGTTGATCATACTGTGTAGATTGGGGTAGAGTGCTTGCTTACCATGCTGAAAGCCCTGATGCTCAGCAGTGCTGAGATGAATAAAACTAATTAACTAAATTAATAAAAAGACTTAATCCTGTGCCATTTACAAGAAACCCTCTTTAACTATAAAAACATATACAAGTTTTAAGAAAATTATAGTAGTGTTAATCACAAGAGTATATTACATCAAAGTAGATTTTAAGACAAAGAATACTAGATAAATGAGCCTTATCATTTCCTAGTGATAAATCAGTTAGTACTTTAAGAAGACAGGCACCTAACAACAAAGCTTCAAAACACATACATAAAGGGAATAAATACAGGAATAAAGGGAAAAATAGATCAATCTGTAGTCATCACTGAAGAATTTAACCCTCACAGAAAATGAATAAAGATTCAGAATATGTGAAAAACACTATTAACCA